CTGTACTTTCTTAATTATTGACGTTTTTAAAGATATAAGCTCATCCCGGTGTTACACTCATCAAGAGCTTTCATTTGAGTACCCACATGCATTTTTGATATATTTTTCATATATTCATATATATAAATATATATAATATATGAAAAATTGATGTGGGTACTCAAATGGAAGGTCTCGATGAGTGTAACATCGGGATGAGCTTATATCTTTAAAAATGTCAATAGTTCACGAGATACAAGGTCATTTCGTAATTATGTATCTAGAGATATTTTCGAATGCAGCTTAAATATCATCATAAATTGTCTATCTAGAATGCAATTACACTAAAATCCACTAAAAAAAAACCGATGTTATTAAATGACTATCCTGGACACAAAATTTTTCTTACTGTCTCAATAATATAGATGAAGATATTAAATAAATTACAGAGATTATCAATATAATATTGGTTAAATGATAATGATCTATGAAAATCACTGAAGCATAAGATATTACAATTTAAACAAGTTTGATCTGTTTAATTTATAAAATTACAAGTTTAAAGTATAACATTTAAATGCACCAATGGTTTAACATGACCACCATTGAAGATTAAAAGAATTAATACTACAAGATGGTCGCCGTGATACGAATAAAGAAGAACGTAAACTGAAGTTAAGTTAATGTTAGTGTTAATGCTGAAGTACAAGTCTTTAAAAACAATTTTTTATTTATAAGTTTATTTATATCTGTATCTATATCTTGGCACATGTGAGTACACATACATAGAGCGAAGATGGTCGTTTACCCGTAGCATCGTGTGACGACCCCGCCCGCTTCAAGGACATCCTCAGACACCGCAAACTCACGAGATGCTCAAGACTATCGTATCGTCTTAAGAGCAATAAGAAAACAAGAAAGAGAAAGATAAAAAGTTTGAGAAAGAAGAAAGATTAAAAGAGGGTAGAGGTGAGTGGTGGGCACGTGTGTTAAAGCACTGGATTCCTCACGTCCATCCAACGACAACTGGACTCCAACTGGACAACTGGACAACTGGACGACTCCAGAGCTAGGACACACGATGGGCCATGTCGTCGATTAGCCATTGTGTCTTTCATCCCGTACATTTTATTATTTTTTATTCCCCACTTGTTTCCACGGGTTTTTTTTATCTCCCGGATAAATTCCTTGGTGTTGAATCTGTCACCTTCAACCGGCTGGCTCTTATTTAAAGATTTATTTTCATTAATAATTGATAGGGTGCTTATAAAACTACAGTACATTGACTTTATAGTTATGTTTATATTTATATTTATTATTATTGTTATTATGGATTTATAATTGACTTTCGGATTACGAGTATAAACTCTTGATGAGTTAACTCGCTTGTTTATTTGGTAAGACACTTTTAATAATTCTTAAGGATTAGTTTTTTTTTTTTTTTTTTTTTCATTAAGTTGGATAACAAGTAGCGAGTTTTATCGTAACATACCTCCGATATTTTCATTATCCGATTTTATAGCTTTTTCACGGGTTTAATGACCCTGTAAATAGATATTAACAGGACATTATTAGTTTTTTAGAGTCTACTTATAAGGAAAAGCCTTATTTAACGATCTTGACAATTTATTTTACTGATTTTATTGAATAGTTATCAATTATTTAGCAATTTTACTTGGCAAGATTGTTTAACTCCACTTTTAAGCGGGGTAACTTAATTTAGTTCCGATTTTAACTCAGAGATGGCACCACTGCACATTTATAAGCGGATTTTTACTATAAAGAAGATAATTCTGTGTACTAAAGGCATTTTACCGTCAAAATGGTCATTAGGAGTATAACAACGCTTATTTAACGATCTTGACACTTTATTTTATTAAAAATTTAATAATTATTTAGCAATTTTACTTGGAAAGATCGTTTAACCCTATTTTTATGTTGGGTAACTTTATTTAGTTCTGATTTGAACTCAGAGATGGCACCACCACAGATTTCTAAGCGGGTTCTTACTATAAAGTAGATAATTATGTGTACTTAAGGCATTTTACCGTCAAAATGATCATTACGAGTATAAAAGCCTTATTTAACGATCGTGACACTTTATTTAATTTATTTTATTGAATAGTTAGCAATGGTTTAGCAATTTTACTTAGAAAATATTGTTTAACCCCACTTTTAAGCTGGGTCACATAATTTAGTTCCGAATTAAACTCAGAGATGGCGCCACCGCACATTTCTAAGTGGGTTTTACGACAAAGTAGACAGTTGTATGTACTGATAGCATTTTACCGTCAAGATGGCCATTACAAGTATAAAATCTCGATGAAAACTCGCTCGTTTATTTAGTAAGACACTTTACATAATTTTTAAGGATTCATTTTTTTTTTCTATTTGGATAACAAGTAGCTCGTTTTATCGTTACATATCTCCGATATTTTAATTATCCGATTTTATAGCTTTTTCACGGTTTTAATGCCCCTGTAAATGGATATTAACAGGACATTATTATTTTTTAGAGTTTACTTATAAGGAAAAGGCTTATTTAACGATCTTGACACTTTATTTAATTGATTTTATTGAATAGTTCTCAATTATTTAAAAATTTTACTTAGGTAACATAATTTAGTTCCGATTTAAACTCAAAGATGGCGCCTCTGTACATTTCTAACCAGATTTTACTGTATAGTAGATAATTAACGGTCTAGACATTTTATTTCATTGATTTTATTGAATAGTTAACAATGATATAACAATTTGACTCGGAAAAATTGTTTAACCGTACTTTTAGGCTCGGTAACATAATTTAGTTCCGATTTGAACTCAGAGATGGCGCCACCGCACATTTCTAACTGGATTTTTACTATAAAGTAGATAATTCTATCTACTAATGGCATTTTACCGACAAAATAGCCAACAATTTACTAAGAATTGAAACACTAAGTAAGATTTAAGAGTTACAAACGTTTTTACAATCATAATTATTTAAATTAACTACTACATAAAGGGAACAAGAATCCGTACATAAAGCAGTAACAAGTAATCAGGATATTTAATAGGAGTCATACTGAAAGCGCTCTCGAATAAGAGATCTCGTAAATAAGATAAAACCAGTTGGATTACATTTCTATTAGACTGGTGATTTAATCCATGATCGTGTCATGCGGATTAATTGTTTCACTGATAATCCATTCCATTAAGTGTCCTTTGGTAGGATTTAAAGATACTAACTTTGGTTTAATGCCTTTTAATTTATTTAAAGTTATTTATATTTATATGTCCAAGATATATCGACGATTATTTAAATTAATTGCTATTTATAGTTATTGTATAAATATTTATTTACCATTAATAATGATCGTAATAACGACTCCGATGATAATAATAATAATAATAATAATAATATATAATAATAATAATTTAGCGTAATAATAAGGTATAAGGATCGTTTTTAACCTCTAATGTCTAGTTGTCTTGCGCGATAGTTATTCAACGTAATTTTTCGCGCCCTTCACGGCTATCATGCGACATTATTGGCGCCACGAGTTAAGTCTGCGTGCGTGTTTACCTTTATTCGTGCTGCTGAACCATTTACATTTTGTTGGTTAGTTTTTATTTTTAACGCTCTTCATTAATAATTCTTTCAAGTAGTAGACAGTTAAAAAAAATTTAAATAGGCCTTTTAACAGAAGTTAGAGCAGAGCGTATGATTCACTCGCCATTTTTTTTAAGCGGCAATTTTAAAATTTTGGGCAATTTAATAGGAACAGAAAAAGATGGCGGATATATGAAGAGATGCGTAAAAAATAAATTTTTATAACATTTTCGGCAGAATGAGGTTGTAATAATTGTGGCACGGTCATGAGAATGGTGGCACGATTATTGCGCCCAGCCCACGCAATTCTATGGGTCAAGAATCATGATCTATGATCATGATGGTGGGTACTAACCTGAGCCGTTATGCGCTAAAGTGCAAACTTGTTAGTCACAAATATCTGACACACCATCTAAGAGATTTTTCATTCCGAAAAATTCAATTTTTATTTTACATTAGAATTAGATGCGCTTTGATAATTTTATGTAATTATTATCTAAGGTGTGCGTTCTATTGGAATTAATAACATTCCATCTTACGGCTTTAAATAAATTATACTAGCAACCTTGCAGTCACTATGTGACTGCCGTGACTTGTGAACTATAAATAGATGAAATTTTGCTTTGTTAAATATTGAATTTTGTAAAATTACTCTGTACTTTCTTAAATATTGACGTTTTTAAATATATAAGCTCATTCCGATGTTACACTCATCAAGAGCTTTCATTTGAGTACCCACCTAGATTTTCGATATATTTTTCATATATACATATATATGATATATATAAATATATAAAATATATAAAAAATTGATGTGGGTACTCAAATGAAAGGTCTCGATGAGTTTAACGTCGGAGTGAGTTTATATCTTTAAAAATGTCAATAGTTAACAAGATACAATGTCATTTCTTAATTATGTATCTAGAAATATAAATACACTACCCACAAAATTTTACTTATTCTTTTAATAATATAGATTATTAAAAAAAAAAAATCCAAGAAAATAAAGTTCCTGTTGCAAGAATTGAAACTATTGTACCATTTCTCGATAATACGGACAGAAGAAAAGTAAACATTTCTTAAGAATACCTCAGATGAAGCTTGAGTGTGTATTTTCATACAAAAAAAAGACTTTAAAATAAAGTTATCGCTTGGAAGAGGTGTATAATACATTGTGTACATTAAAGACAATAAGTTATGGAGAAAAACGCTCGGATAAGGGGCATAAAGAAGAAAACAAGGAAGCGAAAAAAGCGGCAGTACGAGTGGAACAAGAGTTTGGTATTGAAAGAAGTTGTTTTAAATAATTTAACAATAAATGATACCAGTGAGTTGGCAATATTGTCGCTGAAAAAGGAGGCTCGAGTTTTAATAAATTTATAACTTTACGAGATTCCATAAAATGCGAGGGTGGATTAAACTTTAATAGCGGAGACTCGAGAGCAGAAAACGAGGAGTCGTGAGTACAATCGAAAAATATGATTGATATAAGGTAAAAGCCCTAATTATTGACAGGAGTCTAAATATTGACACCCTAAATAAGCTCACCAAGATGAGCTTATGTCTTCAAAAATGTCAATAATTAAGAAATGACCTTGTATATTGTCAACTATTGACATTTTTAAAGATCATTGAAAATCATTTATTTAATTATTTTTAATAAAATTCATTATTTAATAATAAGTTTGGATAAATAAGAATAAGCAATCTATTTAATTAGTAAATATCAGTGATTATAATTTTAAAAAATTTGATTAGTTAAAACATTACTTGAAACATTACCACAAAAAAAATTCAACGATATTGATATTTGATTGCTTAAAAACAAATCAAATCATAACTTTGTCTCTAATGTCAATAATTGGGACTTATATAGAATATTAAAATATTTTATCGTTAGCAAATGTCCGTGGGATTATTATACGGCACGCAAAGAAAATGAGTTAGGAAAAAAAACTGGCAATGATGGCTGAGGAAGAGCGCACTTAATGTCAACATCGTCGGGACAATAATTACCTTATAACAACAAATAGTCGGTTAAGGTTAAGAGTTTTAGCGACGATAGACGATGCTTAAATACGAATTAGCCGAAGTTGAGACAAAGACAAAGACAGCGATAGGGGAAAGAAATTTGTGCAGCAAAGGCTACGATTTAACACAAGATGTCGGTGTAATGTCCAAAAGAATATAAAAAGTCTAATGGCGTCCTAGTCTTAGTCCTCCGCGGATTCCATTAGAGCGTTTACACTTGCATCCAATGGCCGGCCGGTTGCGTTCCCACCGTTGTAGTTAAAGCAGCATTCGGCGGGCGATCAAAAGTCCCCAAGCCTACGAGGTTGATACCTACGAGGTTGATCTAACGGCACTTGGACACATCGGGCAACCAATCACTTGAGAACAAGAAAATTTCTAACCTAACCCCTTGCACGATCTGTATATTGTAAGTATGTATGTATGTATGTTTATCGATACAACACATTAATTCTAATCTAATCCTCGACAAAATACCTTTTACACACTGATTTAGTTTTACTGGCTACTTGTTCAAGAGACAATTTACCGGGAATTTTTATTTTAAATATGCCGACTTAAAAACTAACCTCTGTAAGGTGATTAATTGTGATCTGTTAAGTACAATGCGCCTTGGGTTACGTCACGAATTAAAAAAGATTAAAAGCATGAGTGGCTGAGAGAAGGGGCCGAGTTAAGAGTAAGACGTTATGTCCCGTAAATTTGCCACTGTACGGCGTGTTGCCCGTTGGGGCTGTGGGAAGATAACCGAGGAGTCTGTGTTTAAAGGAACAGACCGCCAGGGGGACGGCCGATAGAAAAATAGAATTGAATATGACTGAGAGAGTGTCGATGGAGACCAAGGTCTTGTACAACTTTTAAGCGTCTTCTTTTATCATTCGTTCCGCTCAATTCAACAACGTGACTTAAGGTCTTGCAGTGATACTGATGCATTCTGTTAATTTTGTTATATCTTATTGAAGATTCAAGTCACTTTTGATGCGATCAAAAGTTTAAATTTAGTTAGTTGATCATTTTTTAAAGATATAAGCTCATCTTGGTGTTACACACATCAAGAGCTTTCATTTGAGTACCCACATGGCATTTTTCATATATTTTATATATATATATATATATATATATATATTTTTAAAGATATAAGCTCACTCCGATTTTACACTCATCAAGACCTTTCATTTAAGTACCCACATTGCATTTTTTATATATTATATATATATATGGTATTTGTGAAATATATAAATATATAAAATATATGAAAAATTGATGTGGGTACTCAAATGAAAGGTCTCAATGAGTATAACATCGGGATGAGCTTATATCTTCGAAAATGTCGATAGTTCACAAGATACAAGGTCATTTCTTAATTACGACAAAATTTTTCTTATTCTCTTAATAATATAAATTAGCTCATAATATAAAAGATCATTTATTAGTTTAACCTCAAATTTGAATAAAGAAAAAACGCAAACTTTCTGGGCCTGTTTGTAATAAAAATTTAGTGTCAAATTTTTTGCCAAACACTGGAAAGAAATAAAAGTGACCAATCGCATATATTACAAGAGACTTTAGTCGGATAAAAAGGTTAAGATGAAGGTAAATAGTCGATGGAGAGTCTTATAACACGAGAAGGTGAAAAATACGGTGGAGGTTACTTAAGTAGCAAAACCCATAGATAGAACGCCGGCTTATAATATAATGTACACGTCCTGGAAGAATATGTACGGCGATATTAGTTGCCGTTTTCCGTTATTCTAATTGCCACGAGAATTACCCATCTAGCATAAGTATGGGTATCTATCCAGCTCTGGATGGTCTTAGTGTCTTCCAGATACTTTAATTACCAACAAAACAAAATTATTCAAATATTTAAGCGTAAACAACGTCTTAAATGTATCACTGTTGCTACAAACTCGTTTTAAACCGGACATATCTTACTCTGAGCGTTAACTAAAGTGTCTAGGGAACCAAAGAGGATCAAGAGCGCTCATAACTTAACTTGTAGTTTAAGTATCTGTATGAGTATTTTATTTCCACTTATTCCGAATATAATCTGTCTTGTTAGCATTGTCACTTTAATTAGTTATCTTTATCTCTTACACTTCCTTCCTCCTCCTCGAGGTGTAATTTCACTCTCAACTCTCAACCAGGTGGCTCTTATTCGTCCCACTCAATCCAATATTTATCATTTTTAAAATACGATGTTTACTCTGTTGTAGAATGGAGACTTTTCAAGAAGCTGGTGTGCAAATGTTGCGCGAATTTCGAGCTCTGTTGCAGCATTCGCCTCTTCCACTTCCTGGGACTCGGCTACTTCAACTTCTTGCTCTCAACATGTTTGCCATCGAGACGACACAGCTTAAGGGTGAGTGAACGTTTTAAGATACCACTTATGTAACTGTTATTTTTTACAACTTCAAACTTAAATTCCATTTACAACCAGTTCTTTATTATTTCCCTTTTAATTCCACAGAATTCTTTAGTAAATTTCTTTTTTATGGTAAATTATCGAAATTTCAATTTTAGAATCTTTCGTAATAAACGTATTATAAAAATCTAAATATATAAAAAATTGATGTGGGTACTCAAATGAAAGGTCTCGACGAGTGTAACATCGGGATGAGCTTATATCTTTAAAAATGTCAATAGTTCTTAAGATCCAAGGTCATTTTTTAATTATGCATCTAGAGATATTTTCGAATGCAGCCTAAATACTTATCATAAATTAATTATTGGTGAGAATGATATAAAACCTTGAAAACTCACAAATTCAATCCTAGACACAAAATTTTGTTTATTCTCTTAATAATATGGATAATAATAATGTGAAATTTTTGAGAATTCCGTATAGTTATTATTTTTTTAATAACTTTTTCTTTAGCCAGTGGAATTGAAAACGGTAAACCACAAATATGCGTAGCTGATGCATTAGAAAAGTTATAAAAAAATAATAGACTCTCGGGGGGGGGGGGGTCAAGTGAAAAAGGGTTATGATGTATTATAAATAAATCGTAAACAAACTTGGGTGTGCCATTATCTGCATACACTCAATAGACGATTACCGGACGGTGTTTACGATTTCAATTACCATTTGTAAGTTGTATTGCATTTCCTACTCCTGGTTTAAGCAAATGAAGAGTGGCTACCACTCAGAACTCCCCATAGCAATGCATACTCATACCCAGGAAAATAAGTATACCAAAGAAAAGGATAAGGATTACCGCGATGTACTCTGGGAAAAAAAAAAAGGAAGAATATAAAATAGATGGTGGCGCCGCGACGCCCTGGCACCAGCAACAGACGGGTAATTCCATGCTGGTGAATCTTTTCGATAAAATCTTGTTCATACGAGGCTGGCTCATACGAACGGAGAATAAAAGTGAGAAGCACAGAGGGAACTACTCTACCACGGGATATATTTAATAAATCATTACTTTTCCCCATCACTTGTCTCAACATAATTAAATTATAATATATCGTCGATCCTAACGACTTTACTATAAACTATTTTAAAACAAAAACTCCCTTAGGTGTTTTATTGTTACTTTTATTGGGTATTTTATGGTTATGGACATTCGATTATCTATAATAATAGACATTTGTCCTAACGGTACGAACAGTGATTTCAATTTCGCGGTTAACTTAATAGTCATTGTTATGCAATGATTATTCCAAGTTAATAGGCCAATGAATTATTGCTTATCGTGCAAGATATATAAGTGTGCCAGAATAACTATGGCCGGACCAAAGCAACAAATAAAATATTTATATGATTAACAACAGGGTAAGAAATATCCCGGTTGATATGAAAAGACATCCCGTGGGTCCATAAACTTTATTTTATTATTATTTTTAATCGTAATGATCGTGAGCTTCTGGTGATAGTGATGCTGGTAGTAGTATCACACTGGTTGAGCTTCAGAAGATGATGAAGAGACGAAGCTGATCGCTGTGTCTAGATAACCGCAGAAATGACTATCGCAAGATGTCTCAGGTAATTCATTAAACCACCCTGCGTATACCCGCGGATTGGTTGTTATGTGCCGTAACGGCGCCACCGTCTTCTTAAACAAGAAGGTCGTTTACTTGTTTTCATCGTTGGGCACATATAACCACGCAGCGAGGAGTCGCCACGTTTTATTATACACTTAATAATAATATAATATAGTATATCTCTTCTTCTGCTTCTTCTCTTCTCTTTTCTCGGGGTATATAATATTAAAGACATTGCCAACCAGATCTAAGGAGCGTTTTTATTGATTCACAAGATCCTGCCACACGTCCTCAGCCATAAGGTATTAAATAATTTTTTATGTCTGAATTAATTTGGCAATTAACTTGCACGAATGTGCATTACACGTAACTTGGATAAAACCAGACTCGATAAATTTGTCGCTCAAGATTAAGCGGTACAAGCGCTCAAGATATACCTCCGCTTTTCAGAGCATTTTGTAATGTCTTTATAAATTCCCAGTGGATAAAAAGCCCCAACAGTAAATCAATCGCCAATAAATTCTCGTACCCTTTTTGTGGGTACAAATTTACGCTGGAGAGGTTGGTTATCCTTTTGCTGAATGCACGATAATGGATCTAGTTTCGTGGGCAGCTTGTTGACGGGAAGATATTTGCCACAATGGAGCCTCAAGATGGAGATTATAGACATTAGGGCACCAGTCCAGGCATAACATTATAGCGGAGAGGTGGCTTTTAAGTAACTCGAGGACTTTCAGTTGCACTTGAGATCGTTGCTGTCAGATAGGAGGGATCTGACGGGCTTTAGCCTATATATCCTAACAAAAACCGGAACTGATAAACCTGAAAAACTAAAGGTTAATGTAACGCTTAATTCGATATGCATTCATGAAGATACTGGACATATATCGCTTAAGATATTTGAGTCTTGTAGCGCCATCACGGCAATTACACGTACCGTGTCCTGCTGGGCCCAAAAATAACATGCCCATTAAAATATCCCAGAAGGTATAAGGTATAAGGTATAAATTAGCTGAAATACAGCAACCCTTTAGGCAGAAACGAAATATTAACCTCTTCATCGCCGGGTAAATATTCCCGAGGCCAACCTCTTCACCGGTTGCTTCTTTGATATGATATACACTATATACGGATCATATTTATTAAGTTATTTATACTTAATACTTATAGTCATCCTTTATAGCCGAGGAAAAGGCATTAATTATGAAGATTTAATGGGGAACGAAAAATCCAGGCCTCCAAACAGGAACGAGTTCTAATGAGTCATGGAATGGTATTTTTATGGATCAAAAATATATCCTTTCAAAAGTTGGCTTTTGATGATGAATTTCGATGATCTATTTGTTTAAAAAATAGAGAGAGCCAAAGTTTCATCAAAAAAGTGGAGTTTTTGAAGTGCTTTTAGAAACAATATTAAATGATTATGAATATGCAATTATATTGAACAAGTTCGTTGACCTGTGACAAGTTGACGAGTCCTGTCATACATTTACCCGATAACTTTGGAAGCGATATATGCATTAGCCATTATTTCCGAGATAGTCGAGACGCCCGTCACACTCAGTGTTTCATTAAATTAATAACACTGTCGCTAGTTGGGCTATATTTAGCCCTCACGTTGACGTTTTCCGATAAAACCGAATAATTTTATTATTGTTACCAGGGATCCTGATAATTATAGATATTACCAAGAATTTTATTAAATTATGTATAAGAAATCGATAATTAGAGCCGAGTTATAATGGGTAGGTTGAAAGCGGCTGAGGCTGGGCCTTAACTTAGCTTGGCTTGCCACTTGCCAAGGAAGCTTTCGTGATGTGTTGACCTTTATGAAGGTGCATAGTCGTTTTCTGTGGTAACATGGACCGATCATCCCATCCAGACTTTAGTTTCTGTTGATCCCACTAGCATAACGGTGTATGAGGTTACAAGGATAATTGGTGCCGGAAGTTTTTGCAAACTGCCGGTGTTTCCTTACCAATTAACGTTCATTTCATTTACATCTACATACACCTCTACCATGGGACCATTAGTCTCACGTTATTTATGGATTTACCTTTATGAAGCTTTTTGATGAAATCCGATTACATTAAATGGACATTTAGTATAATGCAATAAGAAGTTGCCAAAATCGATTGAATCTAATGGCCCGTAGAAAAATTTTTGTTCAGAAACATCTAAAATGCACGGATGTGAATGGTATCATTCAACGCTTTGTACATACAGTTAGCAATTATACGAAATGTGTAATTTATAATTCAAGCTACCACCTTTGGATTATTAAAGTACGGTTATGAAAACATAGTGTTGGATGAATACCTAGAACATCACGAAATACCAAATCAGATCGAGAATCAAGGGAACAAGTGCTATTGACAAATGGAAATGATCTGGAGCTTTTTAGCATGATCGTCGAAGCATAAAACATTGATTATAGTCCTTACTTAAATAGAATGTATATGACCAAGAAGGTCGAGTTAATTTAAAGGGTCTTTTGTTATCCGGTAACTATTTACTGCTGGTAAATCTATTGGGTATGCTATTTTATAGCGTCTGTCTTGTTTTTGTTTGGCACACCAGAGTATAAAATACTCATCCTGGAACAGTAGCTTAGAAAATCGAGTTTGAGTTTTAATGCATCGATATAAATGCGCGTCCGGTATCGTCTGGTTTTCTTAGGTATCTCTTTTCTCAGTTGGCAGCCCCTATCCTCGACAGACTACCGTAATTTAATGGCCCTACATATAACTACGTCGATATACCATGAAACTTTAGAGCTGAGTGGTGAGTCGATACCCGGTAAACATTGATACCAACAAAATAAAACAAACGTACTTATATACTGAATCAGAAAAAAAAAAAAGAAGGATGCTTTTCTATTTCCTCGAGTTATCTCTTGTATCCAGAATTGTTTATCGAAAATGGAGGATCGCAACAGCCGAAACGGTAAAGCTTTTTATGGAGATAAGAGCTTGAAGAAGGATCCATTATTTAGATCCGAATTGGCGTTATACTGTTTTGAGCAAACTAAGAATCCGTTAACTCAACAAAGCGAATTACCAAATAAAAATTAACTGTTTACTTGGTTTCTTGGCAGAGTTAGACACCATAAGCAAATAATACCTACCAAGTCTACAAACCAGTCATCCAGTGACGCATTCGACAATCGTTAGAAAAAAAAGTTCTTTCAACGTTTAAAGAACATACGTTGTTTGCTTGTACGCTTGGTGCAAATTATAACCTCTCACTGAGTAAATATTCCGCGTTGTGCATTCCACGATTATTATTAATAGAAAAGCTTCCTGAATTATTTTTCCCTACCACCCACGGGATTATAATATAATTTAATAAATAGATAAGATATGAGGAGATATAAGACTGCAATAAAAGGAAAATAAAAAAATTAGCGAACAAGTAATGGTCGTAAGTTAGTAGTCGTAGGTGCGGTTGCGATTGCGATTGCGCGATACAGGGTGGCAAGAAGAGACCAACAAGTGATGTTAAAAGTAAAAAAACTCACCAATAAAAATACGCTTCGGCGGTCGTCCTTGCCCTCGCCGATGGAGCCTAACGTCAAGGCCATTTCGCTTCGAGCGCAATGCACCCACTTCTTCCTCTCCCCATAATTTTTTATTCCTCTTACTCTCGTCTATCTAATATATAATACAAAATCCTTTTCCCATTCCCGTTTACGTTCACGTTCGAGTTCTCCTTCTCGTGCTCGCCATTACTCGAGTGATCCACCGAGGCATTATCCACCGAGAAAATATTAACAAACCTCCAATCAAAACTCCATAATACTTTCCTCCGTGACTCAATACATGCAATTAGTTAATCGTGCCCATTTACATAACATATTAACAATCAATTCGCCATTCAATGCCCGACATTTTGTTTAAACATTTTTTTCACTACAAATTACGCTTTTCCTGCGATAGGGTACGCAACAA